CTGGGGATATTTCAGTGTGTCGTGCAAGGCTATATATTGTGAAGCAGCCTGTTGAGATGTCAAACTCACTATCATCAACTTAAATTATGTGCGATTTATTTTATTTATTTTTTTTTTCTCTCTCTCGGTGAAATCTTTTTGTAATACAATGTCAACCAGACATGTTGGATCAAAGGCCTTTTGACTATGTATGTTTGTTTGGCTTAAACTTCAATACTTAAAGGCTTAAAATCATATATGTTCCAAAGAAGGTTTTGATAAGCAATTTGTTTCTGTGCTGTTTATGGAAGTAAAAATATTTGTAAAATAAAACAAGTTTAATAGTTAGCAATATAAAATTTAGCAAAATAATCTGCAGATATTTTAGAATTTCCAATTCTTTAACATTCAACCCCATCCAAACCTGCCACATAAAGATTGGATCTCAATGTTCAACCTGCCCCATGTATATTCTGCCATAATTTATGATATCATTATTGCAGGAAGTCACGCAAACACTAAAAGAGCTGATATTTACAGGGAGGTTTTGAGCATGTTGAATACTAAATGTTTAAATTGAATATCATTCAGTTATATTTTAAATAAACTGGCAAAGTTAATGGACAAACAATGAATAAATATTTAATTATATTCAATGCTTTTTGTTTAATAAAAGATGTTTTATTTTAATAAACTTTGTAATTTCATTGGCATCACTGATTAATGTTATTTTCATATAATACACATGTATATTTAAATAGTAACAAAAAATTAAATTGTGATGAGTATTGTACACTAGCAGCATGGCCCAGCGTTGCCCGTGCTTGATTAAAAAATCGTACAACTCATACAGCAGTCGCTATCACTTGACTTAAAATATTTTTGCCCTTCCTTGCCTTTAAAGGAGTGCCCTTTGCCGTGCTGATGTTGCTACATGCCTTACTTCTTGCCTATCTCACACTGCAAATTTTTTCTAAGCTCTATACTAAACATTAAATCTGTTATGAAAAAAGAACTAAACAAAATGAACACAAAACGATCAGCTTTAAAAAAGGACTCGTAACTGGAAAAAACGGATGAAAAAAGAATGTTAACAACAAATACTTTTTTACACCCAACCCAGTTCTGCGGAATCAGAATCAACGTTGAGTTTAAGCAAGCGAATGAGCCAATTGGAGTAAAGTGCCATGCAGATTTAAATTTTTCCCACTTGTGACGAATGCAGCTATTGATTTTTTTTTTTTTTTTTGCATGCTAGTTAACAATTGTGTCAGTCAGCTGTTGGCTCTCATGCTGGCCAATAGAATCTTCCTGCCTATTCGTGGCATCTCTCACTCTGGCCAGTAGAAAATGGCCGCAAACTACATGAAAACTGCCAAAGAAGCATGAAAAAATCAATTATTTCCACTATCGATGGGAGTTGGGAAATGCAAAGTCAGTCTTGGCCTTCTCGCTAACTTGGAGCATGTGCATGTAAATTTTGGTGCAAATCCGTCAAATTGCGGCCGTGCATTCGTTACACACACACACAACCTGCCTTTTTATTTATATATATATATATATATATATATATATATTGTATTGAGCACTTCTTTATTATTTTAGCTGTTGGTAGGGAGAGCTTTACCTTTGATTGTGGTAGATGCTTTTGTCAGTACCCTAATTATTTTATATTCAATGTTTTTGGTTTTTTTTTTTTTTTGGTTTTTTTAAGCATTTCACCCCAAGCAAGTCAGAAGTGCTATTATCACATAGGGGGTTATGAAGAGTGAAAATGAGAGAAAGGAGTGGGTGTGGGGGGGTTGAAGAAAGGAAAAAAGAACAGGTATCAACACAACAAAACATGGTGACTGATGTTGCATTTAGGTTTTTGATGATCGTAGTTATCAGGGAAGCAAGTGAGAGGAATGGGGTTCCAATATGGAGAAGTGCGAGGAAAGAAACTGTTAGAAGGGCAGTTACATTTAACTATTTCAACAGTAAAAAGTTGGGACCTAGATGCCAATCTAGTAGTACACTTAAATTCATGTAGTCGGGGCACCAGGGAAAAAATGCTCATCAGTGCAGTAGCCATGAAAATATTTGTAGAAAAGACAGAGGGAAGCCACATCACGTCTGTGAGAAAGCGGCTGAAGTCAAGAAGCTAATTCAGTACCAATTACATTACAGATCTTACTTTAGATTTTTTTGAGAATATTGCAGTAAGGGAAGGTAGGGGAAAATTTTATGGATAAAACTGCAATCTATGTTGTTATTCATTTAAACATCATTTAATAGTAATAAAAATATATATATATATATATATATATATATATATTTAAAGTAATGATAATAGTAATAAAAGTAATATACATACACACATATATATATATAGTTACAAACCTAATATATATTTTTCAGTGTTTGATACAAAATGTCTATTTTTAAGACTATATAAACTTATTTTTATGATGACATTTAAGTACAATTTCATTTCTCTGGTTCAATAACTGGCTTGTATTTTTGTACTTAATTATTTTAATTTTTTCTTCCAGGCATAGTTTGCATCTGTTTTTATATATATATATATATATATATATATATATATATAAAGATCAAATATAGATAGGAATGCAAGAGAATGATAGGATAAGGGACAAATAGGAAATCTTTATAAATCTGACATCTTTTGCTTTTATTAACACTTGAGATGTGGAGGTTTATTTTCCACAAGGGTTGGCCAGGTGAAGGTGAGAGGGGGAGCACGTCGCTCTACTCTGGAGCCAAGAAATCGGCTGTATTTGTGTCACCTGCGGTAGCATCGTAGCCGGTTGGCAATATCTTTTGGTTGATGACTAAAAATTAACTTCCGCATTTTGACTGTACACATGGGTTTCATTTGGACACCATGTGTATTTAAAGTAGTTTCCGGTTATTATTTTTAGTTACGAGGACTTGTGTATGTTTGTTTCATTTGTTTTACTTTTTGTGTATCGTTCTTTGAGTCACCGGAAGTTAACAGTATTCGGACGTTTGAGTAGCTGGCAGTAACTTCTGGTCAGGTGCGATACCCTTAACCATGCTTTCAAATTGATTTCGTGCAAAAACAATTGTGTTTTTCCAATTTTTGGCACTGTCATAACCACCACCGGGTAATTTTACGTAGTCCTGTGAAGTTTTGTTGAAATCGGTTGAAAAATGTAGAGGTTTTGGTAAGGTTGAGTAGGGTATCTATTTCAAGGCTAATGTTTGCGGTCACCCTACCTCTTAGAAGATGATGAATCTATTGATAAGAATTAACTCTCTGACCACTTAACGAAGGAAAATAGTCTAGCCACTCCCACAATAACGAATTCCAAAATGACCGGGCCTAAAAATACACGTAAACCGACAAATAGCTTATTCCTAAAATTTCGCTTGAAGATGAAACGGGACTAAACACCACAATCCAACTTAATTTTAATAATTATTTGGATATCTCTGCTCTCGTTTTTGAAACATGAGAACTCTTATGTAGCGAAGGAATCATATTTTTAAACAAAAAAATATTATTATAATATAAGCTCTACTTCTGTATGGAGCACTGTCTTCTTAAAAATAAAAAACAAAAAATACTAAGGAACCCCGGATTATGCACCCAACGTGTTCTTTTCTATTTTCTGCATACCTACGCACTTAGAGATATATATATATATATATATATATATATATATATATATATATATATATATATATATATATATTTTCTAGTTAAGTGCCTGTTCAACCTGTAGACCAAAATTGGAATTTGGGACCTGAAAAAAAAAAAAATCATGAATTGTGCTTTAAAGAATGTTAATGCATTCCAATTATATATGATGAAAAAATTTTTTAAAGTCTTTATCAAAAACTTTTCACTTAAAATTACTTGCCTTATGTGGTGACTAAAATTTCCATGTTTATCACTTTTTAAAATCTTAATCTAATATTTTTGGTTTAGTTTATAAGCAAAAAAAAACTCTGTATAAGTATTTATTAATGGCTCATTCAAGTTTTTAACCAAAAATTAACAGGAAAAAGTATTTTCTCACTTTGTTGCAACTTGTGTTTTTTTTTTTCTTCCCCCCATGTTGTTTATTTTGTCTATTGGTCTGTGCATTTGAGAAAAGTAAACATACCCAAGGAGTTAATGGATTTTATTTTTAATCTGACACTATTTCTTATGACTCCAAGTAGATGCCCCCTTTTTTTAAACAGTGTGAATTAGCTTTACTGACCTGTGCATTTGAGACTTAAAGAAAATGGGCTCCTTGTCAAGATTAGAACCTAGTCTCCACCCTTGGGGTGGTGGGGGAGACTACCAACTGATCTAGCGTAATTGAAACTTGATTGCCTGTGGTGCTCTCTGTGGCTGTTTGGTCTAAAGCATGCTGGATGAGGAGTGGTTTCTCCTAAAAAGAAGGATACTAGTTTGGACTCCTGTTGGAGAGCACTTTTTTTTTTTTTCATTAAGTCTGTCAAAGGCTCAGACTAGTAGACATAATTCAGTATTTTTTTTTTTTTTAATAAAAAATCCCAAAGAACATGGCATCTACTCAAACAAGGGTATCCACAAAAATAATGTTTTGAGTTATATATATATATATATATATATATGGATCAGCAAGTCTACGTGAGATCAGTATGTAGTAGCTGTACACTATACCTAACTTAGTAATTGCATGTTAATTTTTGCCATATTGGTGTAATGGATATGTATATCACTTGTGGAACCCAAATCGGGGCGGGATTCACTTGTTAATTTCATCCAGTTACTTTGGCAGAGGAAGAATACAGAAAATGTCTCATTGTTCATTATGTTTGAATTGTTGTTCCAAAATAGACTGAAGTCATTTTTTTTGTCATTTTCCTGAATGCCTCGTGTGAAAATCTCACCTTGGATCAATAATAATATACAGAACTGAGGACAGAGATAACGTTTTTTTTTTTTTTTTTTTTTTTTTTTAAGTCTTTCATCTTTTGTGCTTATTTTTGAAAATTTTTTTTTTTTTTTTTTTTTACAGGCTGGTTGGAAAGAATCTCATGCTACATTTATGAATGAGCTAAAAAATCTGAAAGCTGATGGTTTGACAGTTCTAGGTGCATCTCTTAAACATGCCTTTGACCTTCTCAATATGAACAGAATGCAAACTGGGATAGACACATATGGACAGGTAAGTAGGCAGAATTGGTCATTGATACTTGGCTTCTTGGTACCAAATCTCTGGTTATTAGGTCAGGTCAGAATTGCAAATTTACTTTCATAGTTAATTCTTTACAATGGTAAATAACAAATATTGCCTTGTAACTAGTCCACACAATCGGGTAGATAAATAATGTGCTAAAATGGCAAAATTTTTTTTTTTTTTTTGCAAGTATACGTTTGTTAAACTTTGCCAATCTTTTTTTTTTTTACATTCTTGCCCATAGTTTTGGCAAATTTGGTCCATTCACTTAGTGGGGAAATGAGAATGGTACAAATCACAGACAGGCATTTTTATATCCTATTATAGTTGAGTTTGTCCCCCATTTCATTAGTTTGCCAATACCTCATGAATAATGAACTATTTTGTTTTGATTGCATAGAAAGAGAGGAAAGACACTATTTGATGAGAAAAGGGAAGATAGAAGTGTTTAATGACCATTTCAGAGAAATGTAAAATCTGTTTTCACTTTCAATTCTTTTCATTTGTTCCCACTTTCAATTCTTTTCATTTGTTCCCACTTCTTAAAATAATGACCAGCATTCATATAGTAAGTACCTAGATGGGTGACCCCTTTCAAATACCAGTCGCTGTTAGCTTGGATATGTGTGGGTGGTGTAATGGATAACAACTCTGATGAGAAATCATAGTTCAAATACCAATCAGGTTTGTTATATTCACTTATATGCAAATACCCTTGGGCAATCATAAATTGGAAAGAAACCTGATTGCCCAAGCAGGTTAAATTTACCCCTGCCAACATGCATTGGGTCAGTGCAGTAGGGTAATTGGGTCAGTGCAGTAGGGTAATTGGCCATTCGGCAAAATAACTCCACTCAAACAATCCTTGCTTTCAACATATGTGTTATCTTAAATCACTCTCCAATTCACTGTCAAAGTATTAAAAAAAACAAAAAAACACTGATCATGTATCACTTCAGCATCCCAAAGAAGTTTTAAATGTGTTTGTGGATCTAGCTTTATGGGATGAAGATTCTAATCAAATTTAATATTGACTTTGTTTTTTTTTTATGACCTTTGCTGGTTATTTAAAGCCAGAAAATATTTGTTGATATAAAGACTATTTTGGAAATAATAATAATGATTTACTGATACAAGTCCCACTAATTGAGTTTGGGATGAAGAGTTGGATTCATGCCTTTCTCAGTTATTTGTGCGCAAGTGGATATAATGAACCTGTCTGGGATTGGAATTTGGCTCTCTGATCTCCAATTCCGAGCCACTATCCATTACACCACCCACACATCCAGACTTACAGCACTTGATATTCCCAAGCAGTTACCCATCAAGGTATTGACTAGGCTTGACATTGCTTAACTTTGGTGATCATACAAGGACTACTGTTTCAACCTGATATGGCCGTAAGCCCTCAGCAAATTAAAAAAAACTTATAAAATTTATAAGTATAGAGCTAACAAAGTTAATTTTGAGAATGACAAGAATTCTTTTTAGTCAGGCTGAGATCTTTTCAGTACATCATGAAAATTAGTACTTTGAGTTTTTTCTTTTTTTTAATAGGGTTACAGTCTATTTATTTCTTTTCTGATAGGGTCGCTGTCCATTTTATTTGGAGCCAGCTGTCATTGTCCTTATAACTGACAGAGGCAAATTAACAGCTACCAATGGAGTTCAACTTGAGGTAAATTGATCTTTCTGGCACATTTTCTAAATTCTTTACATTGTTTACTTGAAAAGCAAAAATATTTAACACATCTTGTTTACTAGACTTTTTCATCTTAAATGGCCATAAAACAACTCGAAGTTTGTTTACAGGCAAGAAGACCAACCGTTATTGATTTTTATCTAGTATTTTTTCATCTTAATCTCAAAGGATTATCATCATGGCAATTAGTCATTCTATAACCGTTAGTAAATGGTGTGAGTCAAATATAGTCAAATAATTTCTCTGCAAGATTTGGACGTGTATCTCTTCTACCCTATGAACCTCATCTGTGAACAATAGCTGTCCTGCTGCTTAACTCAAAAATTGCAAAAGATCAAAGTAAACCAGTTGCTATTGTTATATATACTACCTAGTGGAAGGATTGAACTCACAACCTCCAATTTACCAAAAACTAGAAATCAATGCTTTCGCTCACTTGTTTCTTATTGCTATATTTACCTGCTGATTAGAAATGGCTTCAGCATATTGAGATCAATAAAAGCTTATGATTTATAAGCTTTTATTGAGCTCCATATGCTGAAGCCATTACAATCATCAGACAACTTCTAATTGACAGGTAAATTTTTTCAGTGGACTTTCTCTTATAAATAAACTTATTCTTTATTTCTAAGTGTCAACGAAAAATCCTGAACACATGGCACTGACATTTGATTTGATGTCTTTTATGGAAAGCAAGTGACATTGTGAATAAAAATGAAGAATACTTGATGATGCTTGATCAAATCCAAATTGCAGATAATATTACTACTACTAATACTGCTTGTGGAAATAAAGCAATTGAAATGAAGATGAAATAAATTCTAGAGAAAAATGAAGAATCCTCTATAATGCTTGATTGTAGATAATATTACTACTGCTAATACCTATAATACTATTTAGAAATTGAAGATATGAATTCTATTTTTTTTTCCTATGCTAACTAGAGCAAGATGATTGACAATGAAGATCCAACACACTTGGTCACTATGGTGACCTTTAATGCAACATAGGAAACTCTTTAAAGACAAAAATCAATCCTCACACAGCAAACAATAACATCTATCGAGGCGTGACTTATCCTGTAGCATTTCATGGGCACAATCTATATTAGAATCCTGTATGTTTCTGTGTTTATTACTATAACACAACAAAAATGCCATGTTGGCACAAATTTAAAAAAAATTAACACAAACTTGTTTTAAATGCACTTTTTTTTTGCCTTGAATAAGTCTAAACTGTCCACCTCAGCCCAAATCAAGTTTGTCCATGAAAGATAATTCCAAGTTTATTAATTGTTAATGTCATTTCCTTTAATCAGAGAAAAATCCCTCACTTGTCTGCATTCTTTTCCATTAGCCATCATAGCATACCAATGAAAAAACTTAGTTAAAATTTGTAATAGTTTGCAAATAATTATGATATGAATACTGCAAATAAGAAATGACTTGGATTTGAGCAGAGTCCACCAAAAGTGATATTTGATTAATTGTAAAGGAATTGTTTCAAGCAAATTTAACTTGGGAGATATTACACAAACTAATTATTTTTCTCTTGCTGATTTTAGCTGAATCTTCCCATGAATTCAGTTGTTCCTGGCTGTGAACTAACTAAAGAACCATTTAGATGGGACCAAAGAATATTTGGTCTTGTATTGGAAATCCCTGCCACCCCTCCTGTAGATAATGGATTTGTCTACATTCCTGTTGCTGAGAGCCATCCAATTAATGCCATGTGTGATGTGACTGGAGGTGAGTCAATGGCCAATTTTAATCTCTATTTTGATTGCAATTTCATCAGACAATAAGGACAGTCTTGTTCATTGTAAGGCATTCATTAAATTGTCAATGTTTGTCACTAAACAACGTATACTCTTAGTGTTTTGAAAAACTTAACGGTGTTGGCTTTTAAAGTACTTCCTCTGCTTTTTACTGAGATTTGAGACTTTCCTCTGATGTATATTTTGAAATTTTTCTCTCTCTCGATGTGTCGGGTCCATAACAGTAAAATAAATTTGACCCCCCGAAAAAGTTAAATTGAAACCTCATTTCATGGAAAAAACAAAATGTAGAAAAAAAAAATAACTCTTCTATTCATCTGAATAATTTTCCCTTATATAATTACATTGGTTAATATATAAATGAATCCCCCCCCCACATGCACACACTTCATAACTTCAACACAGAATTCATTCACACAATGTTGTCTAATATTTTGGCTTTATTGCACGGATATTAAAAAAGAGAAATGACAGAAAACAAACTTTTGTCCTATCCAAAATACTTATATAAATAACTATTAAAGCTTCTGTATTAATATTTTTTCTAAAATCCTTATATATTCGCCCACTATTTGTCCAGGCTTTGAATATTGCTGACATATATGATCTGGTGCTCTTGCTCTCTATATATGTATTTAGAGATTCTTGATAAAATCCAAAAAATCTGTAATGTTATTGGTTCTAACCTGGCATCCCAGCTTCAGTCACTTTTTCACTGCCATAATGTAGCTTCCTTGTGCCTTTTCTATAAATACTTTTATGGTAATTATCCTGATGAACATTCCGTTATGGTACCTAGACTATTAATTTAAGTGCAATATTAGATTGGCTGCAAGAACTCATCATTTTACAGTTGAATTGGCTAGATGTAACCATAAGTTCTATGCTAACAGTTTCTTTTCTCAGATTTCTTGCTTGTGGAACTCTTTTCTGGATTCTTACTTTCCAGTCAACTTTGCTTTTAAATTTTTGAAGGTCAATGTTGATCATTATCTTGTCTCTATTCCTCTTCTTTTTTGTTTTTACTCCTTAATTTTTCTTTTTCTTGTTCCTTCACACTCAGTAACACATTGTGGCTTTATTTCCTTGCTTGGAGTGAAATGATTTAAAAGAAAAAAAAGAAAGAAACAGAATGCCAAAAATATTAAGCTACATATTAATGTGGGAACTGAAATTCCAGTGATGAATGTCTGGGTTGGGCTAAGGTTCATTATCGTAAATAAACAACAATCAAATTCATCATTCAGATGTAAAGTTATCTCCCTTTATTTTTTTCGGCTTTTTGATTTTTCGGGTACTTAAACAAAGCAAAGATTTGGTGTAAAGCTTTCAATGAATCCTATTTTTATGCAAATCCACTTTCTAATTACCTCCCTTACTTCTAAAAACACCCGGCTACAAAATGCAACTAAAACCAAATTACATCCTCACCCTTATATAATAACTTATAAAAGAATTTTTCTGCAAAATAGACACAGAGTAAAAACAAATCTTAAAAATACCCAATTTGGTGCAAAATGACACGTGGGGTTGTTTTGTTAAAATTGTTGCCATTCACAAATATATGCAGGAAAGGAATAAAAAAAAAAAAAATGTTAATTCCTAACATTGTAAGTTATCCACAACTTTTCCAACTTGTTTCTGTAATGTTTTAGTATCAAGATGTCAGGACTGATAACATTGCAGATTCTCCTCTTGTATTTTATCAAGAATCTCTAAATATATAGCACCAGACAAGATGTGGCAGCAATATTCAATGCATGAACAAATGGTAAACTTATAAATATGTAAGATAAATTCTGGGGGGAAAAAAATTGTCTAGTGCAAAACTCAACCAACTTTACTAGCAGCAAACCTAGTAATTGATTCAATATAATCTTTCTACTTTATTGCTAGCCTAAGAAGATGCAATGAGTCATTCTTATGGAAGTTAGCATGATCCATACTGATGGAAGGGTTCTATTAGATGATTAAATCAAGGCAGCTTCATGTTTTTTTATATATATATATATATATATATATATATATATATATGGATGAATCAAAATATGTATTTCCTAAAAAATTTAACATATCCCAATGTTTGTTTTTTATTATGCCATTAACAATTATAAATCAAAGTTTTTTTTTGGGGGGGGGGGCAGTTTTTATTTGAGGACAATTTAAATTTTTTTCAGGCCAGTTCTGGAATGACAATAAAAAGGCCTTAGCTACTGTCTGTAAAAGGGATTAGCTAGCCACTTTAGCAGACAGTGTAACACTCAATAAAGTTGTTTTCATAAAACCTCTAAGTTTGATACACAATTTAGCATTTTTAATGTGGAAATTTCTGTTCTTGTTGAGATAGAAGGCAAATTGACTTGACAAGAGATCTCCACACTCAAGAAAAGCTCCTTACCTTGAACACCTGTTGGGACTTAAGCTTACCCCCCAAACCTCAATTGGGACTTTTATGTATGATCCATTGCTAACGATGCTGGAACAATAGTCAGTTCTCTGTACAGTTCCAATAAGTACCTGACTTCTGCTACTGTGCTCTACCTTTTACAAAAGCCAGATCAGTCTAAAAAAGGAGTATTGTTGTTATGTCTGGGTTGGTGCTGTCCAGTCTTCAAGAGTCTATACAGCCTTGTGGGTGATGAATTGTTTTTCACCTCACAACCCTTTTTTGCACAGACAAAACATTGCTAGCCTCTTGCAATTCTACCGCTATTTTTATGTAAAATGTGCAAACTAGTGACATTTGTTAGTTTTAACCCTCCCAGCTAATACCCGCCATGCCATGCCACATACGTTGTGGCAAACTACTGTCAGTCCCTTCATATTCCTTTGGTATAGAGTAAGTTCCCTTCATATAATTTCTTTCCAAGAACTGTTGCTTTGGAGGAACAGAATCCCTGGAAGATGCTTTCTCGTTGAATACTATCTTAACCATTTCAAGACTTGGATTAACTGCTATCTTTCCCACTTATTTGTATAAACTGTGCCACTTCCTCTTACCGCTCACACAACAACCACCTTCAGTAATCCTCTACCTTGAGTGGCCCTTGGATCTTGTATTGGGTAAACATAGTATAAAAAAAATTGTGATTATGCCCAGATTTAAACCTCTGACCTGGAGGTGCGCAGGCAAACAACATACCAACATGCTGCTGCTGAAATATTTTGTCAAATTAACTTTAGAATATGAACTTAGTTTTATTTTTGAATGTTTGTTTGTTTTTTTTTTTTATCTTTTTTTTAATCTATTTGTTCACTAAACTCCTTTTAAAACAATGAAAGCTTAATTCTGAGAAAAACTTTTGAGCTTCTTTTTAAAAACCTTCCGTTATAGCCTTCTCTCTCAGTCTCTTCCTTCTCCTCTTTATAAGTATTTACTTTAATTAGTTTAGCTAGGACACTAGTTTGGGCCACCTGGTGAGAATTGAATTCACTTCACACGAATAATGTTCTATGGGCATATCTTGCTAATAATTATCCAATGTGTTCTCCGCCTCCTTCTGTACTGATCTTGTTTTCAACCCCCCCACAGCCTGAGATTGACTTTGTCCCAAAGACAATAGAACATTCATTTGTGGGAACTGGTTAAGGTTTGGAGGGAGTCACTGCTGGGCTGATACAAAAGCAACTAATTTCTTTAAAAAAAAATGAACTTTTTTTATTATTATTATTTTGCACCAATTGTGGCAGCCTTTTCAATAAATGGAGCCTATATTCACATGCAAACAAGAAAATATAAACAAAATTTAAGCATTTTTTTTAAACTGAGTAAAATCCAAATGAATTGGAGAACTTAAAATTAGGATCTAAGAACACTGTCTAACAATGAATGCCATATCGTCTAATGTTTCTGGCGAAGAGTGGTTGGCTAGACACTCGGCAGAATTAAAAACATGGCCTGTCAAAGACTGGGATGAAACTTCTTGCACAATGAGTTAGATTGGACTCCACAGCTACATATGCCAGCCAGTGTGGTGATTCCACAGTATTGTTGGGTAGAGAGCTTACTAGATGACTAAAGTCACTAACCAGGGTAGTGGCTCCTCCTGATAGAATCAACAGCCCTGTATGTCTGTGACCAAGGCGAGCCTTCAAACTGAAAGACATTGGTTGTGACTTGACCTGGAGAGGTATGGGCTTCGTCAGGTCTACTTGCCCAAGACCCACAAATAAATAACTTTCTGGCTTTGAACCAAGAGATATGGGGAGGGAAATGACTGGGTGATCAGCCATGAAAGCCCACCCCTCTCCTGCCAATCACACTTGGTCATACAACTAATGATGATTAAAATTACACTTAGTTGCTTTTCAGAGCGATGATAGAAAAAGTTAATTGTGAGACATTTATCATTCTGCATCATTTATAAATATTACTCCCCCCCCTTTTACTGTATATGGAATCCCCTCAAAATATAGTGTTTTATGTATTAGTTCTATATATTTGAAATTACAGTAGCCTGGCTCTCAATATTAGTCAAGAGTGTTTTAAATGTTGTCATAGAAGGATATGACTACACAACCAAGTAAATTCAAATTCTACCTGCATTGGCAAGAGCAACATTTTACTTGTCAAAAATAGTCACCACATTTTGTGGTAGTTTTCTGCATTTTGGTCTTGCTGCTAGCCATTATTTTATTCAAAAACAAACTTGCCTCACATCGTACACTTAAGCTGGTGGTGGGTGGGTATTATAATTTTTTATATGGATTTTTTTTCTCCCATGATTTCATTGATGATTGTTTATTTGTATTCTATTAGATTTTCATTTATTTGGATTTTTTGTGTATATCTTCATAAAGAGCTAAAAAGAAAAGTCTTTAATTAAACAAAGGATTGGATTGAGTGAGAGGAAAACTGGGGAAAGAACTTTATCTGCTTATTCTAAAAGCTTCTAGTCTTCATATTGGTTGACATTGGATCCTTGCAGAAGACTATCAGACCTTTCAGGGTCTCTAATACAATTTGCTATTACAAAAGATTTTCATTGCTTTCTGTGGAGTTTTTTTTTTTTTTCTTTTTGTCTTTCTTTGTAACTCGGATGCCATTTTGTTTTGTGATTCAAAATGCTTATAATGATAGACTCTTTTTCTGTTTCTTTTACTTGTACAATTTTACAGGGCGTTCTTATGCTATTTTATCTCAAAAGATGCTGAATGCTGCACTGGAATCTTTGGTTCAAAAAGTGCAGGCAGGGGTTGTGATTGATTTTGAGAAAATTGGTCCTGATCCCAAATCTGTCAGTGAAGGTAAGGTTGGCATCATCCACATTTGTACTTTTTTTTTTTTTTCCTGAAAATGATAAAACTTGAATATTTGTTAATTTTGATAGATATTATCAAGCTAGAAGAACCAGAATTTTTTACTTAAAACAATTGTCGTTATAAAAAAAATGTATTTGAACTGGACAGAAATCTGATGATAGCCTCTTTCTCTCTCTTGTTCCCCCTACCCTGGAAATGCAAGTACAACAATATATATAAAAATTTTGAAAAAAAAGACCCCAAAAATTTATTTTAAATATAAAACCATTAATCCTCGTTTATTTTAAATATAAATCCTGTCTATTTTAAATACAAAATTTTTCTTTAAAAACTCAGTAATCCCCATATAATATATGGACTGTGCTAGTATTGCGTTAATCTGCTATATTTATTAAAATTTAAATTACATAAGTCTCAATATGTGATATCTTAATAGTTAATGTTAGGTCGAAATGCTCAGCCCATTGGTTGAGAATCGTAGTCTTATCTGTGAGAAGTGTTTCACCATCGGATGAATAAACTGATGCATTGCCACTGGCCCTGGGGCCATAAACAGCCCTGAGACCTTCATAGAACAGCTTGGTGTTCTTGTCAGCAGCTTCCTGGATCTCCTTGGCCTTCCTATCCCACCACAAGTTCTTCATCCGGTACAGCTTCCTCTGGACGGTAGACTTCACATTGAGGTACCATGACTTTTTAGCTGTAGACCTTTTATTGTCATAAATTTTGTGAGCACTGTGCATCTTTTGTAGAAGCTCTGAGATCTCACTATCATTTTCATTGAACCAGTCTTGGTGCTTGCGTTTGACAAAGCCCAAGGCATCTACATTGGCAGAATAAATAGCATCTCTGAGCTGCTTCTATGCTGCTTCCACGTCGGTGTCAACTATGACACCTGGGAGAGCTGCTTCCTCAATCTTCTGAATTGTCCTTCATCTATGTCAGATGAGGCCTTAGACTCTATCCCCCAAAGGCAATAGCTTGAAGAATTAGAATATCCTCCTTCTTTCAATTAGGTTGTAAAAACCATCAAACAGACCTCTGGTGGAAGGTCTTCTGGCATAGATGGATATCCCTGCAAGTACGGAGGCATTCAACTGACAAAGAAATTCAGACAGCTGTTCTCTTTGATGTGGAACAAGGGTGTCGTTCCATAAGACATGCCTCCATCGTCCATCTGTGCAAGTGCAAAGGTAATTGGACTATATGTGACAACCACAGAGTTGTATCTCTTCTATTACTTGCTGGGAAGTGACTTGCACATGTTCTTTTAAGCAGGATCTTGGAGAAGGTCGAGATGTCTGTATACCCAGAACCGCATTGTGGCTTCAGGCTTGGAAGAAGAACTGCAGACATTATATTCTCTATGGGGCAGATTCAAGAGAAGTGCAGAGAACAGGACATAGATCTCTACATGGTTTTTATCGACCTGTCCAAGGCTTTCAACACAACTGCAGTGGCCTTTGGACAATTCTACAGAAACTTGGTTGCTGTGAAAGGTTCATCTCAGTAGTCCGGTCCTTTCATGAGTTGCTGACCAGAGTACAGGCGTGCAGGGAATCATCTGATCCATTCCCTGTTACCAATGGCACCAAACAAGGCTGTGTCCTTGCTCCAACCCTGTTCTCTATAGTTTTCTCTATTATGTTGCTTGACACATTCCACAACCTAGACAAGGGGTTCTACACAAAGTTTGAATCTGCCTGTTCAACCTCGAACAACTTCAAGTCCATACAAAGACTGACAATGCTGATCCATGAGCTACTTTGTCGACATTTGCGTCCTTGTGGCCCACTCCCTGGAAGAGACCCAGTTGATAACATCCATGTTTGCTTGGGCATCAGAAAGATTTGGCTTGACTATCAGAACAAAGACCAAAGCATGTATCAACCAGCTCTGACAAGAGCTACACCAATCTCCTGGTCTATATCAACACCATTCCTCTAAAGTCAGTAGAGAATTTCTGTTATCTACAAAGTATTTTGTTAAACTCGGTAACTATAGATGATGAGGTCACACAATGGATTGCAAGAGCAAGCAGTTCCATTGGAATGCTTAGATGTAGGCTATGAGATGAACGTGGTGTGATATTGAAACCAAAATCAATGTTTACAAGGCTGTGGTTCTCAACACACTTTTGTATGGTTGCAAAACATGGTAAATCTATAGTCACCATATTAAGCTTCTCTAGTAGTTCCAGCAATGCTGCCAGCAATCCATCTGCAGAATGAAATAGCAGGATAAAGTCTCCAATGTCAATGTCCTAGAACGATGTGTTGTACTCAGCATAGAAAGTCAGATAATCAAGGCACAGCTTCGTTGGGTGGGGCATATATATCGGATGGAAACCTCAAGAATTTCCAAAACAATCTTCTTCAGTGAATTAGAGCATGGTAACAGACCACTAGGCAGACCGAAACTCAGGTACAAGGATACAATCTCAAGAGATGTGGCATTGGCCTTGGTAGCTGAGAAAGTAGTACTCAAGCCCGTGATACCTGGAGGAGAACTTGCAAAGAGGGCATCAATGTCTTTGAGAACAAGCGTACCAGTATCCTCATTGAGAAACCTGCCAAGAGGAAGACCAACAGTAGCACTCAGGACCCACTTTATCAATGCAGTATCTGCGGCTCTAGAATTGGACTCTACTCTTACGAAAGGACTCATCGGTAATAGGTCAATATAATACTCATGCGTTGGCTCACAATGCGAGAATCCATACATAATACTGGGTCTTACTTAGCAGTATCCATTTTCTTTTTTGGCTTACAGCCATATCACACTAAAACACTGGTTCTTGTATGATCATTGAAGTTAAGCAATGTCAAGCCTTGTCAGTAACTAGATGGACAACTGCTTGGGAATACAAGGTGCTGTAAGCTTGGATGTGCAGATGGTGTAATGGATAATGGCTCAGAACTAGAAATCAGAGAACCAAGTTCAGATTCCATGAATCCACCTCTCCCCCAGCTATGGGTTAATTAGTAGAACTTGTATGAATAAAAATCATTCCCCCCCCCCAAATATTCTTACAATCTAAAATATTTTCTGGCTTTCAATAACCTGCTGATAAGCTGTAAAAAAAATCAATCAAAGCCATTTTGTTTGTAAGTAATTATTAATTGATTGATTTATTCATTTTTTATGGTTTATCAACCTTTTGCAGATTAATTAAACCCAGAAAATATTTTTAGATTATTTTAGATATTGATATAGTGATACAAGTCTTACTAATTAACCCATAGCTGGAGGGAGACGTAATGGATTCATACCTTTCCCAAGGGTATTTGTGCATAAGTGAAATTTAACCAATCAATAGGAATTGGAACTTTGCTTTCTAATTAACAATTCTGAGCCATTATCCATTACACTACCAGGCTTACAGTGCCTGGTATTGCCAAGCGGTCATCCTGACCAGATCATATAGGAATCTATTTCAACCTGATGTTGCTGTAAGCAACCAAGTAACATGAAGTTACATGATGATAATAGTAGGGATTTTATATCAAATTGTGTCCTGATTTGAACCTCTGGCCTGAAGATAAACAGATAACATACCAGCACACTGTTGCTGAAACATTTGGGTAAAATTAGCCTTGAAATGCTAACTTAGGTTTTCTTAATAACTGCAATTGTTAAAAACAGTTGCAGTTATTTTTATGCCCCCCCCATATATTTGTTAAATTCATTTTAAACAATTGAAAACAAAATTTAACACTTTTTTTTTTTTTTTCTTTTTTTTTTTTTTAATTATATTCTATGTTGGCAAGACAGTGAATAAATTCTTTTACTTTAAAACTTAAAAGTATTCCTGTTCTAATTGTTTTTTTATGAAAATTGAAAAAAGTAAAATAATTCAAAACCTTAAAAAAACACTCTTCAAAAGCAATACTTTTGTTAGTTTCATGTATAAAAAAAATGGTTGCTTAGATAATTAAATATATTGACAAACACCATGCATGTGAATTATAGCTTCTCAAATATTTTAAATCAAAGAGGAAAAAGAATTTCTGCATAAAAATAATGAACATTTCTTTTTTACATATTTCACTGTACTGTTTATAAACTCTGGTTGGGTCTTGTAGGGCAGTATGTTGACACGTCTCTCTCTCTCTCTCTCTCTTTTTTATGTTTCTGCTGATTTAAACACTTCACACTGTCTAAAATGTATTCCCTCCTCAACACACAGCACCCAACACTGGTTGCCACTAACATTTTTCTGTTTCTACATCTCTTTCTTTTTTAATGAAAGAAAATGGAGAGACAAATGGACAGGCCGGAGAAATGGATGAAAAGGAGAATCCTCAAGACTCTACCCAGACCTCCAATTCCAAACCTGCATGGCATAGTAACAGAAAACTGATTTATGTTCAACGTTCTGCTCAGAAAGGCTATTCTGTTGGACACTGGCCTATACCCGAATCCTATTGGCCTGATGGCAACATTCAGACACTGGTAAATCATCTTCTTGCTTGTGTGTTGTCTTTTTTTTTTTTTTTTCCTCAAAATTTTATTCCTTTTTTTAGTAGCTATATTTTCCCTAAAAAAAAAAAAAAATAAATAAATCTATGCCACATGTAAATAAAATGAGGAAACCTATGAATCTTGCACAGGTACTACACTGATCATAGGCAGAAGTACCATATTTCTTACAGGTATTATATATGCTTCTATAAAAAAAAAAAAAAAAATACTTGCATGTCAAAACTTGCTAACAAATGTAAGGACTTAAGAAAATGACACTAAGATACCATAGATGGAGCATAGTTCAATGATTTTTTTTTTTTTTTTTTTTATGGTATAAAATTCTACTGGATATAAAAGGAGGGAACTGTTTATTTTTTTATGTTCCGTGTCCCTCTCTACAAATTCGTGTACTTTGTAGCTCCTCACAAATTTTATCTTTGTTGTTACTGAGCAATAAACTGACCTCTTCAGAATTATGACATAATAATTGGAATAATGTCTCAAAACACACGTATAACAGTAAAGGTTATGCAAAATATGTATTAGAAAATTATGCTCTCGTCCTCTCCCTCGCTATCACGTACTCTCAAAATTGGCTTTACATTTGAAAATTTTTACAGCATACTGAAAATATCTTTTTTTTAAATTTTTTTTTCTATTTTTCTTTCCAGTCTCCTCGAACTGCTCAGCCTATTGTCCAGTTTTCCTGTAATGCTTGTGAACCATTAGTTATAGACAATCTTCCATTTGATAAATATGAATTGGAACCCTCACCTCTGACCCAGTACATTCTTGAGCGTAAACAACCAAATAATTGTTGGCAGGTAAGTTGGAATGATGTCTCTGTCGTGTAACTTTCCCTCCCCCCCACCCCCACTCTCTAACATAAAACTCACACTTGAAGTAATTTACAACCTGCTTTGACTACCAGATAATGAGAGAATCTGTTGTTATGGTAACACTAGGCATGCTATGTGCTCCCTTCAATCAAGCAAGTGTTGTATTACGATAAGAACAGAATTTTTAAAAATATAGATTTGAGAGCTGCAGAAAAGATCTTAGCCTTGGCTAAAATGGAATTCTCTATAAAAATTCTGATGTTTTAGTTATTCTTTCATATTTCAGAAAGTGGGTCATGCTGCCAAACATTACTTTGTGTGTGTGTGTGTGGGGGGGTGTATATTAAAATTCTCCCCAGAAACCAGGGAAATGTTCTAAACTAAAAATTAAAAAAAAAAATAAGGGATGTCTTTAACTGAATCTGCATAAATGAAATGCTGCTAATCACGCACACACAAATATTATATATATATATATATATATATATATATATATTTTGTGGACATAGGAATCAACACTATAAGTTAACTGTCAGTTTTATTCTTTAATGTGATTTTTCAGGCTGAAGATTTGCAGTCTGAAAATTGCATTGAAGTGTGAAATTGACAGTTGCCATGCATTGTTGATTTCCATGTGTGCAATGTCTCTCTGTAAACACTATCTCCAATAGTGATCTCTCTTTCCCTATAAATATAGCAAATTTGAAAACATTTTAACTTAAATGTTAACTGATACTAAATAAAATGTAAAGCCTCCAACTATCCTCCATTTTGTTGACTACTAAATACTGGATTTGTAATGTCAACTGAAACATATTTGCAAGGTCATCTTTGATTGTCTTTGGCAATGAAATTTTAGGACAACCCCCTTTCCTTATGGCCTGGTCTGAAACATCCCAGGACTTTTCTCACTGTTGTTTCTTTAGGCAGTCTGTCCAAGGAGGGGGAATCTTGTAATGGTTTTGCTCCAACATTCACATTTTGCCTTGTAATTTCTAAGAAATTAATGGAGAGAGATTATTACTTTTAGCCTCATATTTTGTAGATGGTTGACATCTCTGGTTTCTCTCTCTCTGTGGTGTTGTTGTTTTTTTTTTTTTTTTTTTTACTGTGAATTTACAGTAGACATAAATTTAAAAAAATGGGGATGTCTATTCAAATAAGTGTAGCTGCTAAATAAATTTAATTTTGTTATATGGTATTTTTTTTTTTTTTTTTGTTTGAACAAAAAATATTTTTAATTGCCCTCAATATTCATTGGTTATGCAATTTTCTCATCTGTTCTTGTAACTTATAGAGAAATGTCATGTATGTTACGGTTTTATTTAAGTTCTATAAAGCTTCTTTAAAAAACAATCAAGATTATTGAGGTAGTATACAGTAATAGTGATGTCTGAAGAAAAATATCCTGGCAATGTTTAACCATTGTGCCAGCAATAAAATTGTATGTCGAAAGGAGTTATTACCTTGATACCGCTATTATTGTGTAGACTTTGGTTTCCTTGACAATGTTTTTAAAAATAAAAATGATTAGAACTGTAATAAAACCCAAATGTAAAAGTGGATTTATACATTTTCTTTATTTTTGAGAATTGACAGCAAAGATCTTAAACTTGTTTTCATAGTTATTTATAAAATGGTAAATAATATTGCATTGTAGCTGGTTTACATAATTTAATAATTTAATAATTTTTTTAGAAATTTTTTTTTAATAAAAAAATTCTTTTAATAAAAAATTTCTTTTAATAAAAATTTTTTTTTTTTTTTCAATTTAGTTCTTTTATAAAATGGTAAATAATAAATATTACATTGTACTTGGTTTACATCTACTTGTAATCTTGTAAATAAACACTGCCAAATGAGTCAAGTGTATGCAGTAATGAATGACTTTTGACAGTTTTTTTGCTGGCATGAAAGTTAAATCTTGTCAACATTGTTTTCACACATTTCTTTTTGTCTTGTCCTAAGTTGAACTTTTGTTCATCTATTTTTCTTACCCACTTGGTTATTTATTCATAAATTTATAAAAAAAATTACAAAATTTATAACCAACTACAATGCATTACCATTTTATAAAGTTTGGAAAAAGAAAATTTGAATAAATGTATGACAAACATAAATCAAAAGAATCTTTTGCTTCAGAGAAAGAGATGATCTTCACTTTTGTGAATTTAGGTGATGAGAACAAATGAAAGAAATGCTCAGAAAATGTTGTTTTTTTTTGTTTTTTTTTTTCCAAAATGTATAATTAATTACTTGCCATTATGTTCAGACATTCTTATAAATTTGAGTAAAAAAAATTTCTTTCAATATTTATTTCTTTATAAAATGGTAAATAAGTATTTTATCATAGTTGGTTCACATATATTTATAATCTTGTAAATATAAAATTGTTTTTGTAAATAAGTGATCTAATACATAAATAGGGTTTAATATCTTTGTTGTAAGAATAAAGAAAATGTGTAAATCTGCTTTCATATGTTTAGGTTTTATTAAAATTCTAATCATAGCTTTTTAAAGCAAACATTGCCAATGAAGTCAAAATGTATACAGTAATATCAGTGTCAAATGAATAACCATGTTTTTGAACCTGTTGTAACCCAGAAAAGGTTACTGAATGAGGAATAATGAAAACGGAGGTTGGAGATGAAATGGTAATCTTTATAACATCAACAAAATACAATACTCACCATTAGTGTTCATAGGTACGGTAGATAACAGACCCACGTTTTTTTTGGGGGGGGTACTGAGAAGAAAGTTAAATCTTGCCAACATCCTCTTCACACTGAATTTTTTTTTTTTTTTTTGCCTTTTCTCATGCTTCAGCCAGTAAATCTCATGTGCTTTTTTTTTTCTCTCTCTCTCTCTCTCTCTCTCTTAGGTATTTGTAAATAACAGTGCCAAGTTTGATTTTTCTTACCCATTTGGTTATGTAAAAGCCAGCAGTAATTTATCATGTGTCAATCTGTTTGTCATGCCGTACAACTATCCTGTTCTTTTGCCATTGCTTGGTAAGTTTTCAACTTTTTTAGTTCCTCTTCTCCATCCTTTATAAACCTAAACTATTTTTGCCTTAGAACAAATGAAAAAAAAAAAAAAAGAACCATGCCAATGATTTACATCAAAGTAAAGAAAAACAATTTGTAGCAGTCACAAAAAAAGAACCCCCCCCCCCCAAATAAAAATGAAATCATGCTGGAAATTAAACTCCAATAAATAGCCCCTATCCTAAAAGAGGCCCCCTAAAATCATTCAATGGAAATGATCAGGCAGACACTACATTTTGATCCTAGGTAGGAAAATGTAACAGGTGTAAATACAGTCCTCCCTCTTTAATGTGACATCCTTTGGGCAAGACCAAGAATCAAATAACTGTTGGATTTTAATTAAATTTTCCGGGCTTATTCACAAATAAATGAAATTGTTTTGCAATTTTTTTTTTTTTTTTATATAGAAAATCTTGGTAAAAATACATGATTCACCCCACTTATTTAATTTTATATAAAAAGAAAACAGCTCATTTAAATCAGCAATTTTTTTTTTTTAATTAGATCATCAGCTTTGAATCATAGAATAAAAAATGCAATAAAACTAAAACATTATTTAATTGGAAAAGCTTTTAATTACTCTTATGAAAAATATATATTAGAGACAATATTGTTTTAAGAAAAAAAATGCTTTGATGAAAAAACTTTTTACAAGCTTTGTTTTCCTTTTTTTACAATTTTAATTAGAATAATTTATATTTTTAAATCTTAAAATTCAGTTTCAGTTAACTTTTAGGAAATATTGTTGAGTAAAACTATACTTACTAATTATATATAATGAAGCTTATTACAATCTACAAACTCAAATATTTTTAAAAGAATTTTGAATTGTTTTTGCGTGTGCATAAATGTACTGAATTTTATAGATATGGTAGCCCATACATAACATTATGAAAAAATAATAGTGTTAACTATAGCAAATTTAGAACCAAAATTATCTAAAATTCAATAAAACTGGAGATTACCAACTCCTTAATAGACACTCACATTATATTCCTCAATTCTTTTTTTAAGGTTAGAACAACATTAGATAAAAATTTATCAAGTTGTCAACATAAATAAAACATGCTACCACTATGTTAAAAATGTATTTCTATGATATTTTAAACTTAGAGTAAGTTTTATTTGTGTCCAGGCTCTTACAATATATCACCATTCTGGGTAGATTTTATATTATCACAGTGTGGGATTGCTAGGGACAAAGGTGATGGAAAGAAAAAGAATACAGATGAAAATAAAATGTATTCTTTCGAAAATTTTGAAACTACCTGTGTCACTTGTTCCGTGTGTATGTGTAGATGTAGCAACATCAACAAAGCTTAGTCCAATGAAATCCTAACGAATGAAACGTATCACAAAAAACCTTTCCATTTTGTCATATTTTTCTAAAAACTTATAAATAATGTTTCAGATTAGATTAATTCTATTTTAAATTGGTTAATATTCTTTAAATAATGTTTTGGAAGATTTTTTTTTTTTTTAATATAGAGATTTACATTTTCATAACAGTTTGGTAAAACTGGTGCTAAATTAAAAAAAAAATTTTTAGAAATTTCAAAACAAATACTCCTTCCAATCAATTTAAATTAGTTTTTAAATACAGCATATTTTTTGTTTATTAGAAATATTACATTTAATCTATCAGGTTGAAATTAAAACTAAAATAAGAGCTTCAAGAAAGATATTAAAAATTCATCTTAAACTTTATCACATTGTGTGTGTGTGTGTATGTATGTATGTATATATATATATATATATATATATATATATATATATATATATATATATATATCTAATCAAAAGTAGAACAAAGCTTAAAACAATCATTAATGCTTTCAAAATGGCTTTTTATTGTTTTGGGGCTTTATTTAAAAAAAAAGCCTCAAACCAAAAAATAATATCTACTATCCTGGATGGATAGAGATTCAGCTGTATATAAGAAATGAGCAAGACACCAAAATAATCAGCTGCTGTGGAAAGTTGTAAACCACAGGTGGCACTGCAAACTAATGGTAGCTGATGTTTAAAAAAAAAAGAAAAAGGCAGCAGATTTATGGTCTAGATGAGATATACGCAACCCAAACTGAATGATAAACCCTTTGCTACTTATCAGTTCACACTTGCTGCACAAATGACCCAAATAGCAGATGGATGGTGACTGATCAATGTGTTGGACTCCTTACAATCTTTAACAATATATATATATATATATATATATATATATATATTATATATATATATATATATATATTGGTAAATGCTAAAATGATTCCTTTACTCTAACATATATCTTTTTTTTTCTTTTTTTTTCTCTTGTATATCAAAATGAACAAAATATATTTTTGGGGTTACAGTGATTTGTCAAATTGGTATGAAATTGACCCGTCAAAGAAAAGGAAAAAGTTTTTGTTTTTTAGATGACAAATTTAAAAGCTAAATTGTTTTATCTTTAAACTATAAAAAATGTTTTCTTTTTATAAAGATTTCCTCAACAGCTTTGTCTTAAACTGTTCTGGAGAACAAGGAAATTGACTTTATTGTTGTGTATAAAATCTAAAACTCCTCCAATATTCTTAAAACTGTACTTTCTCTCATTCCCTCCCTCCCAAATTTTTAATCTTTTTTTTTTCTTTTTCCTCTCCAGATGAACTTTTTAAAGTTCATAAATCTAAACCAAACAAAAATTGGCGGCAACAGTTTGACAGTTACCTGAAGACCATGCCAGTGTATTATGCTGGGGTAAGTAATAGTCTTTCTATTCAAACCTTTTGACATAGGCTCTCCATAACTTCCTGTCCCTTGTAGCACTTAATAAACTTTGTCTTTTTATTTCTCTTAAGCCCCGTTCTGCCATCGATTTACTCAAGCTCTCTAAGTATATTATGCATTGTTTTTATCTGTCCCTCTATCTGCCCTGTGAGTATCAGATTTTCCAAGCTCTCCTTCCTCATTATGTACTCCCAGCAATTTCAACTCTATTCCTGGTGTTAAGTATTAGTTTTCCTTTTTGTTGAAATTTTCTTCAAAACTTTGTCATTGCTTACAGTCCACTGTATCCTCAGCATCCTTCTGTGTAACCAGATTTCTTTTGCTTCAAGTCTCCTCTCTATCTTTGAGGAGCTGTCCAGCACTCACTGCCATACAGAGGGACAGATATCATACAGCAGTTTAGTACTCTTTTCTGTGTGTTCTGCCCCCAATAGTATGCATTTGCATCATACGTGTGCGTAATCTCAATAAACACCTTAAGGCAATTAAAACTCAGAAGACGAAGTCCTGTTCATCGGTAGGTTTATTAACAACCAAAAGAGTAAAACTAGAAAAGGAAAATAAATACATATAAATGTGATTAGTTCGTCTGCAAGTGTAAACACACAAGGGTAACAAGAAATACAATAAAAGCAGTCGGAGGCTTGAACATAAAACTAAGACCATTTGTTGAAATGAATAAAAGAAGGTAGCAAACATTTCATTTACATGAATATATATGAAGTTTGCTACAAGAATACATTCCAATGTTGCAGTGAGTTTGCAGAAAAGAAAGATAGAAGAAGCTTACATTCTGCAACATTTTATGTGAATAGTTGGATACATGTTGAAAGGATTCTATGCAGAGATACACAAATGTATGACTACTTTAAACAAATGTTGAAATAGTAGCATGGAGATAAAATAGACGAATGTAGAGAGAAAGGAGATTAAAAGTTTGAAAATGGTGATGGTTAACATTGGGGAGTGAGATTAGGTGGCTTATGAAACTACCGACCACGTACTTGATGTCATCCCTTTTATCGTTTGGGGGGGGGGGGGGTCTGGTAATATGCTAGGGGCTAACCGGAAGTGGTTGAAATGGTGACCAATCTAAAAGGTACCTAAACTACAAAAGGGACAAACAAAAGAGGAAGTAAAACGATACAGTTTCTGTACGGTCGTAACAGAACACGTTGTATCTAGTGAAATTCTTCTATTTCTTCATACTCTGCTTAGCTTTTGGGATGCTTCCTTGGCGATTCCAATATGCCTACTGATGCAGTTGGAAGGTGAAGATTTATAAGATATTATTTTATTTTCCTCTTGGTTTTCATGTGTGTGCTGATGGGAACATCCATTCCCTTTGACTGAAGCACTCCTAGAAAGAAGGTAGATTATTTTTGACAGTACCCTTAGGTGAAGGTAAATTTCTGGATCTAAAGACGAGAAAATAAGAGCTACATTGACATTAAATGCTCTTTAATGTTTGTGCAATTGTTATAAAATGGTGTAGCATTTCTAATGTATTTTCTGATGAGATTTTACTATATTGATGATGATGATGATGATGAATTAACAACTTTGTCTTTGTTTTTTCTAAAGCTTTCTGGCCGAACAGAAGTATAGTACAAAAACTAGAATGTGATGTTGAGATTTAAAGAAAGTATACAGCAGGGAGGATGCCTAAACTTACATCACCGTTTACTTAACCCCCCCCCCCCCCCAATTATTAGATATCTTGTTTTTTGTGGATAAAGATTATTTTTTTTGTTGAACTCTAAAAAAGATATATATATATATATATATATATATATATATATATAGCAAAAAAACAATGACTTTTTTTTTTTTTTTTTTCTGTAAAAAAAAAAAATACATATGCTCTGTTAAAATAAAAACATAGAGTTCTCTGTGGATCAGTTTTAATAATTAATGTTATCACGATCCTCCTGATTATATACCAACAGATCGATTGCCTGTACTGTCGCTGTGTGTGTGTGTGTGTGTGTGTGTGTATGTATGTATGTATATATATATATATATATATATATATATATATATATATATATATATAATGTATGTATAATAAATGGACCTAAAACTATAAAAAAAAATTATTTAAAATAGGCAAGAATCATATTTTATATTAATCATAAATGGGGCTTACCGTTTTCATTTTTTTTTGGCGGGTGGGGGCACTTACTTTTTGAATTTTGTATGCCCGTCTAGTTTAAGTGCAATCTGTTTTTTTTTTTTTTTTTTTTTTTTTATTTTTTAAAAAATTTTTTAGATAAAAAAAAAAAAAACAGTAATCCCTGTATAATATATGGACTGTGCTGTTTTATTAACTGTTCAATTTATATAATGGTCAGTTTTAACTCAGCACCTGAAGATTGTGTTGTGCATGAAACAGGGAGTTGTGCTACCAGTGAGAAATAATATGTATATTTATTCATGTACAGATTATTCACCTGAACATTAATCAGATGCTTA